AGATCTTTTTAAGGATCCACCGTGAATCAGCCTGTATATTTTTCGAAGAATCATGATTCCATAATTATAACACTTACCGAAATGAAATTCCATCGTGTTGAAAATATAACTATTTTTGAAAAATTAGGCATATTAGATACAAAATAAAATAAGAAACAATAACAACAAACAGAAATAGATGAAACAAACGAATATCTTCATCTATGATACTGATGACAGAAATGACAGAAAAATATCAAATTAAAAACAGGGATCATTTCACTCAATGAATTGAAATAAGCCGTATTGAAGCCATCGGCATACCTCTTAGTGTTTATGATATTTGGTGTAGACTTTTCTATTTTGGGAACATGAACTTTTTTCTGTAATTATTTTTCGGGCAAGGGCTCTTGTGAAATTATTCTTCACTAGGTACTGCTGGTTTAATTGAATATTTTTGTTATGGAACTCAGGAAAACGGCAATTGCTCTCACTTTCAAATTCCTTATAATAATAATTTCAACATCTTTCCCGAGCAAATCTTTTATAGTTTTGCCATGACCAGATCTGCACAAATGAGTGACAAATAGTTACTCATTCCCAACCCAAAAATCTGTTTGTGAAAAATCCATTATGAAAAAAGTAATACAAGTCTATACAGAACTCAAAAACTTATATAGAAAGATCTAGGGGCAAAGTGGTAAAATTCGAAATTATTTCCCACTTACTTTGGATAATATTCATCAAGAGAATGCCAGTAAAAAATTATACCACGTCAAAAGCAATTGATGAAATAAAAAATTCAAATACAAATCATCCTTTTCGAAACCGTGTATCAGTATTTCACTAATCAATTTCAAAAGTCTAAGATGAGAGAACCAACACAAATAACAATAGGTCTCGAAGGTATACCTTCCTTTTGTATATTTTATAAAAAATACAATTTGGGACAAATTCCGTTGTTATACGTGAGTTATTCGGTACAGTTTTTGTGTTATTAATTATTTTCATGCAGCTTTTTGATCTATTTGTTTTTTTTCGGTTTCGAATTTTTTTGAGCGAATTGTGTAGTAATATCATATAGGTGTCGTTATCATTCAAAATTTGTGTAGACTTTTCAGGAAATTCTCTTTTATTCATGTTACCTTTGTCAAATCGAATAAAAGTAAATATCAAAAACCCCAAACCCCTTTGTTGAACATGGAAGAGAATATGGACACACTTTTGACTTTAAGAATCTGAGTATTCCAGATATTCGACCAAATCTATCCAAAAGACTGTTCAGATAAGTGACACATCCCCTCAAACACGATAAACACTGAAATGGATGTCAATGACCTCAATACGGTACATTACAATTTATTTAGAATAGGCCAAGCAACGAAAGATCACCGTTCTACCTCTTTTTTGATAGAAAGAATTAGTATTGCTATTCAACGTGGCAATGCTGCTTCAGTACTTGGAACTATTCCTCCTTCACATAATTTTGATGAGATCATGCATTGCCCTAATTTCAGTACGGAACTGTAACCTCTTCGAAACAAGCCTAGATATGTGGATATTATCAGTCTCTTATCAAAGTTAATTCACAAGTGATTGATCCACCTTCTTCTCTTTCAGTGCGGTCAGTGGACTCAGGTCATTCTTGCCCCCCAAATATGAGTTGTAGTCCTCGTAGAACTGATTCCTTTTCAGTGAAAGAGTTTCATGAAGCAAGAGCCGAATCGATCCCTCTATAAAACCCTTCCTCGCTTGGAAGGATCGATCGCAGCTTGAGAAATGGTTCGTATGGAGATTCTGTGAAACATGTTCTTCCTTAAGAATCAGTAGTCGAAGTGTTGTTCATGACGAAGAATTTCAAGAACGATGTTTTAATGATGAACGAGAACGGGAATGTTTCCTACTTATTCATCAAACTCAAACAACTATTCATGCAGCTGCAGTTTCGTAAGAAGGTATCATCTTTCCCTCCAACCGATTTCCTGGAGTCTTTGAAGTCCACTAGATACTCGTTAGGACAACAAGAGGATTGTTCCGAGTTCTTGGGGTTCTTGTTGAATACTCTTCGTGAGCAAAACAATAGCAAAATCAATACTCCTGGCCGCTCTAGACTGAATGATTCCGTACAACCCATCTCATCTTGTGTTTGTAAATCTTTTGCTGGAAAAATCCTCACTGGTTTACTTTGTGGTAAATGTTCAAGAAGTACTGAAAACTTATGTGAATTTCTGGAACTCCATCTAGCTTTTCCTAATACGACTAATAACCAGTCCGTGCAAAGCTTATTGTTAAATCATCTGAAAATGGAATTTTTAACAGGTGATGATCGACTGTATTGTCAAACTAACTGACTGTTATAAGGAAACAAGTATAGCTGAGGCACCAGTCAATCTAATAATAACACTGATGATCTTCAAACAAGACTCAACCTCTGACGGAAGCAAGAAACTCTTTGGAAGGTTCGAAATAGATGAACATTTCAATCTAGCAGACCACTATTATAATATTCATGCAGTCATTGTTCACTGTGGTTCTGGCGTTGAATTTGGTCATTATTACGCCTTGGTGAAAGACGAAACGGACTGTGGTTTAACTTTGACGATAGTCGTGTCACGAAGTGTTCTGGCAATGCATTGAATTTATTGGAGGCTCTGTAGACACCCTACATTTTGTTTTATGAGAGAGGACATTGTTGGATCGAGATCTTCAGATGATGTGGTGCTGCAGGTTTTTCCGGGTTTTCCTGCAGCTGAAAAAGCAAATGCGCCACTGGAATTAATGAAGTCGCCCCGGAGCGCCAATTGATTTTTATTGTCGTTTTTATTTGATTTTTATCGTTGTTTTAATAAATAATATCTTATTCATTTAGCAAAATGTCATTAATAATGACATACACCACCTAAGCCGTATTATAGATAGAGATATATTATTTAACTAATATGCCTGATTTTTTCAAATAGTTGTATTTTCAACACGAAGATACTCCTATTCGGTGAGTAATTCAATAAGGAATTCATGATTCGTCACAGTTATAAGTTTTGTGAGATAAATGTTCATGTAATTCATTGTAACAAAGACATGAAGAAGAATTCAATTAAATCTGAAACGTTTACAAAAAAAAACTTGTTTAAATTGATCCTGTCACGCAAATAACCCTTCTTGAAAATAATTGCTGGATCACCAAGCTAGTTAATAATTGATTAATATTCTATAATTGATTTCATCAAACTAAATGTAATATGTGTGCAAACTCAGAAACAAATGCGTGATATTGTTTTTCCACTTACCTTTGTAGAAAAAAATGAGGCATTCTTGAAATCTTTGAGTTTGATGGAAATTATAAATGTTCCGAAAAATAACAGAATCGACATGAGAAATACATTTGAAGTAGATTTTGATGTAAGACATCTTTCAGAGAAAGTACCATTGAGTTCCTGCAAAACAAAAGAAATATATATTTGATCCTTTCATATTATGGAGTTGATTGTAAACTTACAAGGCATTGTGTTCTACGGGAGATGTTTTCAAATGTATTCGGGAAAGTAGTAGATACATTGTCGTTGATAAAACACAAGCAATCAGTGCCTGATATGCCGATGGGGTACTTCTTTCCTATAGCCATTACATTTTCGAATGCCTGAAAACCAATGATTACATATTAGATATCTCAGAAATGTTTGTTCAACAAATAGAAACATATTTCGTCATATTGACTTTTTTATTTTGAATGATACGTAGAAGGCATGTTAATGGTTTCTACGAGTACTACTTCCAAAATAAAAAGTAATAGAGAAACATTTGAATTCAGTTACTTGAATATCTACTTCTAATCGTACTCTGTATTATCTCTTGTTAGTCTAACATTGAGTACTATTTTTGTGAAGAGCATTTTCTGAAAAGACTTTTGCAATGACGGATTTTGAACCCAAGTCATCAAAGAAATCCATAACGACTAACACTCTCTGACAGTTGCTATAGATCGACGATAGACTTCTGGTTTGAAGATCAGAGATTTCGTTAATGTGTACCCAGAAACCACAAAAACCATATGGTTTATTCCTGAACCCCCTAGCTTACAGAGGAAGATTTCATTATCTTCATCTGAGATGGAATCATCGCAATCAAACTCATGTATCCAAAACAAGCACTATTTTCAAATACCAGAACTGCAATACTCTTATCGACGCGCTTTTCATCAATTCACTCGGGGTCTTTAGGAGGTGAAGTAGACTTGTTCATGAAGTAGACTCAGACTGAAGATGCCTACTTGTCTGGTGAAACGTCGGGATGACTGTTGCAGCTCTGAAGTTTGACAACAGTGCTTGTTTTATATTCATTTTACATCAGAGATTTCAGTTTCATGTGTCAAAATAATCTGCTCAATTCTAGGATATGTCAGTATCTCTTCTTTAGGGGGCGATGAAAATACCTCAGGCAGGATGGACTGACTGTTTACAAAGCCAGAAAAGTGTCCAGAGGAAAATAAGGAAACCACTGCGGCACTGGTGGCTGAAATGAGTCAGTGGTAACCTTTTCTTTCCATAAGCGGAAACTGAAAAAGGAGATTATTATAGCGGTGTTATGCGACTCAGGCTGAAGAATGAATGGTACCAGATTAGGTATTATAGGATATCAGGTGACCTCTCAGAGTACTCAATTTACAGTCTTTGCAGGAGATTTTCGAATATAGACAACTCTTTTTCTTATTCTAGTGTATATTCAATAGAATACAAGCATAAAAAAATGTGGAGATTCTTCGTGTGAGTTCATNTATATTCAATAGAATACAAGCATAAAAAAATGTGGAGATTCTTCGTGTGAGTTCATCGATTGGCAATTTGAGTGTGATAAGCTAACTGAGAATACAGTAATGGAGGATTCAGTGGTCTTTACAAGAATACTTACTGGATCTACAGGAAAAATATCATGGGATTGGGAGAAATCCAGGGAAATTTAACTCATAACAGAACCTCAAAAATATGTATCAAATTCCTGAAGATGACTTGTGAGAGAAGATCTGAAGTTCATTTTCATATCATCAGTGTACCTCCCTGAAGATTGTCAGGATTCGTCATCAACTAGGGACCTGAAATAGCTAGTGAGAGCCTGCTTGACGAACAGAACACAGCTCATTATTGGCTGTGATGCTCATGCACACATTCTAACCTAGGGTCAAGAATATAAAATTCTATAGATTCAGAGGTAGCAAAAAATTTATTAGAAATGTTATCTGGTGAAATGCAGATCTGGCATGTGTGAGACAACAGAAGAGAAAAGCCTCAGAAAGTGCAAGGAAATCAGGTATATGGCATAATTTTTTTAACTGAATACAATGAAGCCCTGGGAAATCAATGAAAAGACAATGGAAGAGATCCAAGCATGCATTGAGACCTTTAAGATAATATCCGAGGGACAGCAGGTCTCAATAAATAATCTTGAAACTGATACCAGAGGCTCACAAATGGGATCTAAATTCATTTCAATCATATAGGTAGTTCAGACATGTTGATATTCATCCAATCCCACCTCAGCCGGAGGATGTTTTTGATTCTCCACAGGATATTTTTTATTAAGTGAGACTCGAAGGATATCTCAATTTCATCACCATTCATTGTCGTAGAACATCCCGATGTAATAACCTCAATATTGTCCAAGGTGCTCATCGGTGTCCTTGAAATATTAAGAAACTCTCATAGGAGTATGCTATTTGAACTGTGTGATTTGATGAAAATCAATGAAATAGTGCGCAACATATTGTATTACAAATCACTTCGAACACTTCTGACAAATCAAAACAAATTCCATCAAATTTCAATATCAACATGAGTCCGATTCTCAATTCCTAGCTGTTCTATCTAATGGCAACATTAACTCGAATCCCTTGATGTGTTTGTATTTTTTTCTATATCTGTGGGCTTTCGAAAGATTTTTCCCTCCTCCAGTACGTTTTTGTTTCAGCGTTTAACGGCGACAGTCAAATCGGATCAAATCAAAATCTTTCATTTCTTAAACTCAGTTCAAACTAACAGCAATCAAATTCTTCAAATGACTCATGATGATACTATTACTCGCCAATAACTCTGTAAATAACACGAACAAAATATGCCTGACGTTTCGTCTAGTACTGCATTGGACATTATCAAAGGCGATGCGGTAACGGTCGCAGTGCCCGTGTTGGTTCTCAAGTTGCATTGTCTTGAACGCGGTAACTGGAATGATAGTACAAAATATTTATATAATGTTAATATAACAAAATATTCATATATTGAGCTAGAAAACAAAATTCAATGCATTTTGCATTGCGACAACCCTCAGAAGTCGAAACTTGTGCGAGCTAAGGATTACCGAGGTCTTACCTTTTAACGTGTGATTCCTAACACGGAAAACTGGCTTATTTTTCATATCAGGAGGTTAAAATCGTCCAGAAATCATCAGATATGGATAAATATTTTGAAACAAATTTAGTACACATTCCACGCTATTCATAGGCACGCACCGCTGGCCCTTCATAGGGTACCGCCGCAATCTCTATGTCCCTGCATTTCAAATCTTCTGGAGTATTCATTCGAAGAACACGGCACGTAAACGACAATATTGATCTATATTAAAAGCAGAATGTATTCAAGGTACTGAATATGATGAGGGTCAATGCTGTATTGCTTAAAATCGCGTCGAAAAAAGTGAGGGATAAAAAATGGTTATCGCGGGTTATCCCTAGATGATAGACATATATTATCGCGAACTTTTCTGTAGATCTTTTTAAGGTGTACAATACCGTAGTGCATTATTTAAATCTATCTCGTAGAGTTCAGCTAGCGTTTGCACGCATAAAATGTGTTTATTTACGATATCACATTAGGAACCACCAAAACTATCAGTGTTTCTCTACTATATTATGCATCTCATATACATATAAACTTTCCTCTTGAATCAATCTATCAATTAAAAAAAACGTACATCACTATCCGTTAGGTAGTTTTGAAATTCTATGCATACATAGGGATAGACAGCGGGAAGCGATTTTGTTCCATACTTTGTAGTGAAGGTACATGTAGTATATAATACGTTCTTAACATATTCAGGACGTTCTCAAGATTGAAAAATTTGATACCTCATATATCTTCAATAGTACCAATTATGTTTATGTGATATTTGTAGGACATTTCGAAGAAATTCTACAGAAAAAAGTAACATATCCATTGTCCACAGACAAGATTGGGACAACCCACCGATATCCTATGCATGATTTGAATTTATGTGTTTTTTATTCGATAATGATCATCATGCTATCTGGAATAATGAATTCTAGTCCAGAGCAAATACAATGGTATATTGCAGAGTTGCATACAACAGGCCCTGATTATTGTAACACGACAACCTATGAAGAAATGCTGAATATGAGCCTGACAAAATCGACTATGGTGACAAACACCAAGAGTAATAAAACAGTAGGCGAAAGACCTCTGAAACTTCGAAGTGAAGTTAGTTGGAATAGGTTCAAAATCCGAGAGTATTACTAGATCACATATTGACCTGTAGCTGGTCATACGCACTTAGAGAAAGACATAGGAGTTGAATCTAGACATGGCTGTTGGCCGAAGATGAAACAACCGATCATTATCAACAGACTGTGTATTGGGCAAAGATTTGATTGTTTTGTAATGATCGACTCACAAGGAATTCAATAATGTTTAGGGACAAACATCAAATATACTGTTGGACCACACATCGCATCTCCGTTACGCGCTTGGTCAGTATGGATTCGTCCACCTGTGAAGTATTTGCAATCTTCTTAAACACATGGAACATCAACTTGAGGCATCAACAAAATGAAGGGATCAATATTTCCACAGACAGCCAGGCTGCACTTGTCACTCTGTAGGTTTAAAAATCTTCGGTACGGAACCAGATTGGAAATTTTGTTGGAGAGAACCATCAAAAATACTGGAAAAATACTCACTGGAAAACCTTCATGACGGGGCAATCTGGAAAAAGGACTGAAGAATGAGAAAGATGCGAAAAGAAAACCCTTCGATATTAATTAAATAATTTCAATTCATCCATTTCAACTTATCAACTTGCAAAAACCTCATCCTGCAATGAATAAACAGAATTTCACACTGGCATATGTACAGAATAAACTGATATGAGCGTGAACCCTATACTCGTCGCTATTGGTTTGAAAACTAACTACCATGATATACCAACAGCTTCGAAAATTATTAGAAGGCGAATACTGTTGTTTTGATAATGAAAAATTTCAAAATCAAGTATTGATATGAATGAAATTCTCAAAAAGTGCTCCTACATTCAACAAAATTCACAGAAACCTGTTAATTTCAATTCAAATCCACAAAGCCAAATCCAACAATACAGCGTTACTCAGATTATAATATGCAAAATCAAAGTGTTGATTATCAACAATATTGTTTTCTTAAGATGAAAGACAACAACAATACGCTGCAAATTACAATCTGTCTACAAACGAGTAGACCAACTCAAGCTGAGCAAGCTGAATGTCAACTCTACCGATTTTTTTAAACTACCTGTTATTCAACGGAATGCACACAAAAATCCTCATGAAACGCATGTTATCGATTTCTATCAACCTGAATACTTTTATTTCTACGATAGTGC